GGTCGGGAGGGGGGGTCAGTGGGTGCATACTTTTTTTTACAAGAAACTTATTGAGCAGATTCTTTGCGAGATAAACTAAAGATTAAAGGTTATTACAAACACGAAAAGTTCGTTACGTGTGTTCACGTCATTATTATGTCACTGTCGACAACTTGATGTACCAACTCGACATATAGTCTTGAATTCAGTGATAGGCTTACTAGTGAATATTATTATCAACAGTTAGAAATATGATACCAGAAGTCAATGTTTTGTCTTGAAAACGATATTCCTTCTTGTAATTCTAGAAGTGTTCCATTCATGTTGACGCTGATGAAGTACCGAGAGGCTGGGAGGAGATCCACGATTTAAAAAAAAGACTACTTGACATATTTTGTGCTGGTTCATGTGTTTTGGTTTTTTTATTTAATGTGTTTGTTTGCGTGTTTGTGTGTGTGTGTGTGTGTGTGAGAGAGAGAGAGAGAGAGAGAGAGAGTATTTACATCCAACTAGACACAGATAGATATAATTAATTGTATCTCCTTGAACAGGATCAAGACTATAATGTCTCCGGGTGTTTGTTTTGTTCGTTTTGTTTTGTTCTGTTTTTCTCCGTTTTTCTTTGTTAATTTCACTTTGTTGACAGGAGGTTCTGTCCACCAATCAGATTCGAAGAGAAAAAATAATGGGACCAACAAAACATAGAACAAAGGAGCTGCCTCTACTTATTAAGTGAGATCGACTGTGGCGATTTGAAAGACACCCCACAAGTGGGCGCGACACTCGCCTCTGGTGATGATACAGCAGTCTGTTATTAATCTACGGTCCCATCGGGAGTTCCCTGTTTTGAGTCGATATGATAGCAAGAAGTCAACAACTGAGAAAGCAGTTTTATGAGTTAACTCCGTTGTTTTGGGATTCTTAGAGAAGTGGGACAAAAATTTAAGAGTGCGGTTGCAAAATGGAAGTTTGGCCTGTTCAACTACGCACCATCATAATCATCATCATCATCATCATCATCATCATCATCATCATCATCATCATCATCATCATCATCAACAACATCATCATCATCGTCAACATCGTTGTTGTTGTCCTCCTCGTCGTCGTCTTTGTCATCATCGTCAGCATCATTACCATCATTTATGTCGAGGGAGAGGGGG